AGCCACACCAACACCCACACCAACATTCATAGCCACACCAACATTCATAGCCACACCAACATTCACAGCCACACAACATTCACAGCCATACCAACATTCACAGCCACACCAACATTCACAGCCATACCAACATTCACAGCCATACCAACATTCACAGCCACACCAACATTCACAGCCACACCAACATTCACAGCCACACCAACACCCACACCAACATTCATAGCCACACCAACATTCATAGCCACACCAACATTCACAGCCACACCAACATTCACAGCCATACCAACATTCACAGCCACACCAACATTCACAGCCACACCAACATTCACAGCCACACCAACATTCACAGCCATACCAACATTCACAGCCACACCAACATTCACAGCCATACCAACATTCACAGCTACACCAACATTCACAGCCATACCAACATTCACAGCCACACCAACATTCACAGCCATACCAACATTCACAGCCACACCAGCATTCATAGCCACACCAACATTCACAGCCACACCAACATTCACAGCCACACCAACATTCACAGCCACAGCCACACCAACATTACAGCCACAGCCACACCAACATTCACAGCCACACCAACATTCACAGCCACACCAACATTACAGCCACAGCCACACCAACATTCACAGCCACACCAACATTCACAGCCACACCAACACCCACACCAACATTCATAGCCACACCAACATTCACAGCCACACCAACATTCACAGCCACACCAACATTCACAGCCACACCAACATTACAGCCACAGCCACACCAACATTCACAGCCACACCAACATTCACAGCCACACCAACACCCACACCAACATTCATAGCCACACCAACATTCATAGCCACACCAACATTCACAGCCACACCAACATTCACAGCCATACCAACATTCACAGCCACACCAACATTCACAGCCATACCAACACCCACAGCCACACCAACATTCACAGCCACACCAACATTCACAGCCATACCAACACCCACAGCCACACCAACACCCACAGCAACACCAACATTCATAGCCACACCAACACCCACAGCCACACCAACATTCACAGCCACACCAACATTCACAGCCCACCAACATTCACAGCCACACCAACACCCACAGCCACACCAACACCCACAGCCACACCAACATTCATAGCCACACCAACACCCACAGCCACACCAACACCCACAGCCACACCAACATTCATAGCCACACCAACACCCACAGCCACACCAACATTCACAGCCACACCAACACCCACAGCCACACCAACATTCACAGCCACACCAACACCCGCAGCCACACCAACACCCACAGCCACACAACATTCACAGCCACACCAACATTCACAGCCACACCCAACACCCGCAGCCACACCAACACCCACAGCACACCAACATTCATAGCCACACCAACATTCACAGCCACACCAACATTCACAGCCACACCAACATTCACAGCCACACCAACACCCGCAGCCACACCAACACCCACAGCCACACCAACATTCATAGCCACACCAACATTCACAGCCACACCAAACACCCGCAGCCACACCAACACCCACAGCCACACCAACACCCACAGCCACACCAACATTCACAGCCACACCAACACCCGCAGCCACACCAACACCCACAGCCACACCAACATTCATAGCCACACCAACATTCACAGCCACACCAACATTCACAGCCACACCAACATTCACAGCCACACCAACACACCGCAGCCACACCAACACCCACAGCCACACCAACATTCATAGCCACACCAACACCCACAGCCACACCAACATTCACAGCCACACCAACATTCACAGCCACACCAACACCCGCAGCCACACCAACATTCACAGCCACACCAACATTCATAGCCACACCAACACCCACAGCCACACCAACATTCACAGCCACACCAACATTCACAGCCACACCAACATTCATAGCACACCAACACCCACAGCCACACCACATTCATAGCCACACCAACATTCACAGCCACACCAA